ATGGAAAGCAGCATTCAGAACCAACCAGGGGTTGTTCGAACCTCTTGTCATGTTTTTCAGGCTTACAAATTCGCCCACCATGTTCCAAAATATGATGAATGATATATTACGAGAACTCATCAATGAGGGACATGTCATTGTGTATTTAGATGACATTTTAATCTTCACGGAAACAATGGAGGAACATCGGAAAATAGTGAAACATGTATTGGGGGTACTCCAACAACACAAGTTATATCTCAAACCCGAAAAGTGTGATTTCGAAAGCACTGAGATAGAATACTTGGGGGTGCTCATCTCGCACAATTCCATGAAGATGGATCCAGTGAAGATTAAGGGCGTGATGGAATGGCCTGAACCAAGGACGGTGAAACAAGTTCAGGCTTTCCTGGGCTTCACAAACTTCTACCGTCGGTTTGTGCATGGGTACAGCGAGGTGGCAAAGCCACTGACGCAGTTGACAGGAAAAGCCGGCTTCACTTGGGGTCATGACCAAAGCATGGCTTTCCAGAAAATTAAAGATCGGATCAAAGAAGATGCGGTACTTGCACTTCCAGAAGATCATGGAAAGTTCTGCGTCGAGGCAGACGCATCTGAGGGAGCGATAGGCACTGTTCTTAGTCAAGAACAGGAAGGTCAATGGCGACCTGTGGCATTCATGTCACATGGATTATCAGTGACCAAAAGGAATTACGAGATCTACAACAAAGAGATGCTCGCAATCATGCTCACGCTTGAGGAATGGCGCGCCATCCTTCTGGGGGCAGACGAGATGTTTGAGATTCTTACAGACCACAAGAATCTTGAATACTTCAAGCAGCCTCAGAAACTCAATCGCCAACAGGCACGTTGGATCGGGGAGTTGTCTCAGTACGACTTCAAGCTCACACATAGACCAGGGGCCCTAAACAAAAAGGCCGACTCATTGTCAAGGCGTGCAGATCATGACCAAGGAAGCAATGACAATGAAAACGTGGTGTTACTAAAACCTGGAATATTTCCAAGCCACAGAATTTGAAGTCGAGGCCTTTGACAAGGAACTGATCGATAAGATCAAAACCACGTGAAAGATAGACACCAGCGTCAAACTCGCATTAGAAAAGTCCTTACCAGGGTGGAAGCGAGAGGGAGATCTGATCTTCTACAAGGAACTTATCTATGTTCCCAGAAGTGATGAACTGAGGGAGCAGATCATCATGCTCCATCATGACAAACCGCTATCAGGTCATCCAGGAGAATGACACACACAAGAACTTATTGAGAGAAACTTTTGGTGGCCCTGTATGCCCAGTGAGAACCGGATCTGGAGAAATCTGAGAAATCCGGCTCCATCCAGTCATGTCTGACATGGTCCAGCCTGTGCTGGAAATAATCTGGGAATGATAAAACACACAAATGTGATTCAGAAGTCTAAGAGGATATCTGAGGATATCTGAGATGTTCCCAAAACAGAGAGCTCTGCGTCTCAAAAAACGGACTTGAAGCAATTCGATCAAAATTTAATAATATTCGCCGTATCACACCATCACACACTGGGCCCGATCATCAAGGCACTCCAAACAGAGTGCCGTAGGCGAAGTGCCATGGCACTCCTGACGCACTCCTGATAGCCGGTTACCTGGTTGTCATGAGCAGTCCGGAGCAGTGTTGGTGAGAAAATCAAGTCAGCTGTGACTTGTGAGCTATTATGGCAGCACTGTCTCTGCCAGCGCACCTTGTCTCCTACCATCTACAGTGAAATACTCCCTCCCCTTTTATCAAGACAATATCAGCTTTCTAAATCCCAGAGTGCTCAAGGTTCTGTTGGAGATGTGATGTCTGGTCTAGGGGGCAGTGGAGCTTAGAGAAATCTCTTGATTTTTTTGTGTGTCTTGATTCTGCTGCTGCTCATAGCATATGGCACTTCAGATATTATTCATGTCATCTATAGAAATTACGTCTCTCTACCATGTCCTCTTTTGCTCATTGTCTTGACCCCAGCTATTGCCACCACTGTCAAACATGTTGCATTTGCAATATTCCGGCCACAAATGTCCCAGACTCTACTGAAGTTGATTGAAAGATAAATATTTGTTATGTGAAAAGAGCTTCAGCCTTCAAAGTATACCAAGATTGCTAGTGAAAAGCAGTTGTCATTCATGATAATGGGCACTGAAGTTAAAGTCATCACCAGATTCATGGTAGCCATGAGATATTTGAGTTGACAGATTTTATAGATGCCTTGGATTCAGACCGCATTAGATCAATGGGCGTGTCTGCGACAACTGTGAGATATTTGGGTTGGCAGATTTTATAGACGCTCGCAGACGTCTTTGATTTGGGCTTCGGATGACCACTTTCAGCGCCTAGTGTGAGAGAGAAGTGCTGAAGAACTTGACAGCATGCAGACATGCCGAAGATGCCGCTCTTTGACAACCTTTATCATGATCAGGAGTGCTTCTGGAGTGTGTCAGGAGTGCCGTGACACTTCGCCTAAGGCACTCTGTTTGGAGTGCCTTGGTGATCACGCCCGGTGACAGATATTCCCACCATCTGCTCTTGCCTCCATCCCCTTCGTCGCTTCCCTGGCTGGATCCCATTGCAAACAGTGTCCGACATCAACTACCTGCATTCTCAAGAAGAATCCACAAGAACCACAAGGCTCATGAACCGCAGCTGGCAGCAAATGGGCCGATGGACCTCGTAATCATTACCTGACGGTGCGCATTGGTCGAGCAGCGAAGAAAACCCGTCTCCCTTGGCATCAAAATCAGTAAATCCTGCATGGATATTTCTTTTATTGTATCAAGTAACCTGGTTACCAAACCTTCCAAGTAGTCAAAATCACGGTCAATCTCAAGTCCTTTCCCTAGGTGCCCGATCTCAAGCAAGAATACCTCAATTCCCTATTTTCTTCTTTGATATACCTTGGTTTCGGTCATGTGCATAGGCTTTTTATTCGGAAGCTGCAGTGATTGTCGAGGTCTGTGCGGTATGTTGTCTCTGGCTCTTGTATTGGACAGTTTACAGGGCTGCTTAGGTTTGGTACATCGACCAAATTCATTCTCAGTGAGCTCTGCTTGTTCCCATCCTTTGATGTTACTCACAATCGTGGTCTAGGTCCAACTATAGTGAATTCAAGAGGTTGGTTTCCTATTGCTTCTTCTTACATGTGAACTGACGACCATCCTTATTCCTAGTGCTGTTCCCTCCCATCCAAGTCCACCTTCTTTCCATCTTGCAGCATATTCCTTCGTTCAGTGGACTTGGCGCAGTGGGATTGTGAGGCATAAGGAGATTTGGGATAAGAGAGAAGCTGGAATACAGTGACATCGGTGGTTTTTGGATGTACCCAGATACATTCAGAATATAGTGGATAAACATACTTTTTCTAGTCAGATTGCCCCAGATATAATCTGGAAATGAGCCAAATTCTGGTGACATCTGAGATGGTCAGAACTTTCATATTTTCCAGATGATACCAGATCAGCCCGGTCCTTCTTGGACCAGCCTAGAGCTGATTCTCACTGGGCTGTATGGGTAATCAAGTCAAGAAGTTCTGCAAAACCTGTGAACCTTGCCAACGAGCAAAAGCGAAGAGGTCAAAAATGAAACAGCTTAACCTGCACAAAATAGCTGCAGGACCTTGGGAGACGATATCAATGGACCTAATCAGACCCCTCCCAGAGAGTAATGGCTTCAATGCCATACAAGTGTGGGTAGACACCTTTACAAAATCTATTCACGTTGAACCTACCAATATGGAGGTTACCAGCGAGGGAATCGCAAGGTTAACACGAGACAGGGTGATCAGATACCACAGAGTTCCCTGAAAGATAATTTCGGACCGTGATCCCCGATATGTCTCTAAGTTCATGCGAGAACTCAATCGGCTGCTCAGAATAGAGATGAACCCGAGCACGGCATTTTGTCCTCAGACAGATGGCCAGACTGAACGAATGAATCAGGAGATTGAAAAATACCTCCGGATTTATATCAATTGGCACCAATCGGACTGGGCAGAATGGCTTGCATTGGCAGAGTTCAGTTACAACGACAAGGTCAATGCATCCACAAGGATGTCACCGTTCTTCACCAATCATGGCTATCACCCATGGAAAGGGATCGAAGTGGCTGCAGGCTCACGCAATGAGTCAGCAGAAGAGTTTGCATCAAGGATGAAAAAGGTCTGAGATGAGGCAACAGTGGCGCTTGAAAAAGCACAGAAAAATATGAAAAAATATTATGATAAGAATCACCAGCTGGCACCGGAATTTAATATCGGAGATAAAGTTTACGTCGAGGCTAAAGATGTCAACATTGATAGACCCTCTAAAAAACTTGGCGACAAATAGTTAGGACCGTATGAAATCCTAGAGAAGCGAGGGAAAGCTTCTTACAAGTTAAAGATCCCAGGGATGGACAAGTGCTATCCTGTATACCATGAGTCACTCTTGACTCCATACAAGGAACCTCCACCACATCGGAGGGAATTATAACCAGACCCTGTTATCATTGATGGGGAAGAAGAGTACGAAGTTGAAGAGATTGTCAAATCTTGGAAATGTGGTCAGGGTTATCAGTACCTGATCAAATGGAAGGACCATCCGATGTCCGAAAACACATGGGAACCGGAGTGTAACATCTTACCAAACGCTACCGAAATCCTTGCTGAATACAAACAGAAGAACATGAACATGACTTCTGTTTCGGTACCGGTTCCAGTTCTCCTGTTAGGACATTGGGATTATTTGGTTAAAAGATACAAGACCAAAGAAGAATCCCAGCCTTACCAAGAACAGAAACTCTTCAACTGGACAACAGGAGAAAAAGTTAGGATTATGGATGAAAATTTACGAGATAACGACATAAATATCAGAAAAACAACAGAATACACAACTCTAGTCAACGAGGACATTGAAGGGGTTGTACCAGGTACACCCTTACAACAACCATGTGAATGTGTAGCAAGGCTCTCTGGGATCCATTGGCATATGATAGTCATGCTCTGTTGTAGACATGGCACTATAGCTTAATGGTTAGAGCATCTACCGGCCTTTGGTAAAGGGAAGCCTTCGGGTGACCTAGAGGTTGCAGGTTCAAGTCCTGCTAGAGCTACTCTTTTGAGCGTCATCTTATTGTGGAAACACAACTGCTACTTCATCTCCAGATGAGAGGGATCCTTACGGACAGTACGTAAAACGTGCTTGAAACGTAGTATGCAGGAAACAACCAACACACAACACAACCAACACCTCAATGTACACTTTGTAACCTCAGAAAGTTCAGGTTTACTTGTATGATCAAGTTCGGGATAAACCGCGGTATAAGCGCAAGTTCTTTGGGGGTCTAGTTCTTTGGAGTCTTTCAACTTTCAACAATTGTTTTGAGTGCAATACACTATAGGTTTGGATCCTCAACCACTAAGGTTTGAAAGAGGCTAAGCACTAAGCTTGGGTGACACTAAGTCTTGTTAAGTCTGGACCTTGACACTAAGTCAAGACACTAAGTCTTCCAATAACACTAGGCACTAAGTCTCTAACTCTTGGAAACTAATTCCTTAAGTTCTTTCAAGCACAATGGACTTTTAAATCCTGAGTTGAATTGAGTTTCTGTCCCTGGAAGGGGGGCTACAATTCACTAGCTATTTACTACAAAACCTGAGCCTTAAATACTGTACAAAAGCAATGACAAACACAAATGAGTAATAGTCCGCAGCACTACTGAGGTGTTTCGCCAAGTAGGCTTTATCAGCCATTAAAACGTATTAATAGATTCTGGCATGGCTACAACTCCGAAGTGGAGTCCTAGTCTGATCGGGTATATTAAGAATGTCTGCTAGACCTTTCAAGTAAGGTCCTTCCAACATCCTCTTGTGGACCTAAGTCCTATTTGGTCTGGGGTCTTTGAATCACACTTAGGCGAGGACTGCAGCTTCTGCCACAGAGGTTTCTCTGCCCAAAGGTGTCCCTTAATGAGTACCTGATCGCTCTGCAGTTCTCTTGGTAACAGATAGGGTTTGGTAGAGGCTCCGGACATGTAATTCTGAATGACTCAATGTCAGGGGTGCTTTCTTTAGGCACTTCTTCCCTTCGGAGTTCCTCCCAACTTGAATAGACATCTCTGCTCGTAGTTCTTCGTCTTGTATTCGTTATGGGCCATTATGTGGACAAATGCTTTATCTTCAGATTGGCAAGGTGAACCCCTAAGTTGACTATCACACCTTCTGTGCTGATAAGTGCGTAGCGGTAACAACTGCGGGTTATGCCTGCCGGTCATACTGGCAACTTGAAGCTCAGTTCCAATGCAACTACATCGCCCAGCAATCCAAGGAGACGTCAAACTGCCCTAGTTTGATAGAAAACAAGGTCGAATTTTTGTGTACCTCATCAACGTTGACCTTGAGGGGGGGGTAATGTCAGAACCCGAGGATTCTGTCATTGTTCAGACATCAGCAAAACAACCAATGTTGTTGGACTTAGTTCATAAAGCAGCAACAAGTGATGTATGTCAAGAAAATGAGGACTTAGATTGATGAGAAGACATGTGATGATAAGATAAGGAATAGAAGCACAACATGCTTGATCCAGCACAAAGGTCATAGGACAACATGAGGCGCGAAGATTAAAGCCTCAAGGCATTCAGACACAATAACACATGGCAAACAGACAACTAGCGCATTGTAGTGAAACAGGAAACAGGCATGGAAACCCGAAGGCACTTAGTAAAAAAGGCATGGGAACAGGTTGCTTAAAGCATGGTTGTAGGATGTTTTGCATTGTGGAGAACGAACAGTAGTCGCATGTTTACAAGTATTTAAGTAGTTAGAATATTGCTGTATTCTTTAGTCTTTCAATTTCGTATCCTTTACCTTTCTACTACGCTCTAGCTCCTCCATCGCCTCTCGACATCGAGTGGAATAGATCAAGACTGAGAATTAAGTGTTTATAGATTGAGTTCTCACACCATTGCAGTCAAACCCCTGTTGTTCTCGGAAACTTAACGAAACTATATGTACCCAGAGACAGTTCATCCAAGGAGCTCCTGGATATGCTCGAATCTTGTTTTCCAGGGCCGCCCCAGGCTGGTTTTACAACCTTGAGGGAGGTTCATGTCTTTGGTATTGAGGAAAGTGAAGTTGAAGCATTAGAAATGGCCTGATTCAAAGTGCTCCAGGAGGCCAGTCCTCTGGTGACATTCGCAGACTCGTAGTCACCCAGAAGATGTTGAAACAGACCTTGTTTGGATTCCAGATCAATGATGAAACCACATTTTTCCCGAATTCGCGTTGATTTTCGTCAGACGATTCCCAAGACATTTATAGCGAGTACAATGCTCCTTATGATATTACAGTACAAGCCCTAGGGTCCTGTTTACAAAGTTTGAAACTTTGAAAACCTGTTTGTAAACAGTTTTTTAAAAACTGGTGTTTATAAATGCAGTTTTTTGGTTTTTAACTCCTCTGGGCCAGACTTGGACCTCTGATGCATTGAGTACACAATATTGGCAAATATAATGGTCCTATGTCCAAGGACTGCTGACTTGCTGCACTCTTCATACTGCTCTGCAACATGTTAGGAGGGATTTGGGAAAAGTAGGTCAGACTCCGGACTATATTTTGGCAATGCGCTCATCACGAGCTCCCGATGGGTGTGGGAAGCCGCCATCAATGTCGAGCGGTCTAGGTTTGGCCTTCGCCAAGCAAGGAGAAAATTCTCAAATAACCTCCAGATGCATCAACTGAGAAAACAGCATCAGAAAGATTGCCAAAACCCGCACCTTACCTCAGGTATTTATAAACCTAAAAACCAGCCTTTTTCAGAGGTTTTCGGATTTGAGATATAAACCGGTTTATAAACAGGTGTTTATAAACATGGTTTGCAAAGATGAGATCTAAACAGGACCCTAACAAGCCCTTTTGCCTGACCCCAATCATAAGCCCTTTGTAATGTGAGCTTGCATGCAAAAGTCACGTTTTCAGCTTCAAGCTCACCGTCACCACGAAATCTCCGAAATTGGAACAACCAGCGCTCTTCTCCATATTGCTCAACATTCTTTGCCTCTGGGAGATGGTGTTCATGCTCTTTGTCTTGTTAGCCGACAGCAGCTTTCACGTCCGTCCTGGTTGTACGGCGTGCCCTTTTTTCCCAACTTTTTCATTAGCTTGTTCTGGCTCGCTATTCTTCTATTTGGGCTTTTATGACGCTTTATGTGCTGTTATAGACAAAGAATATCACACTGGCTCCTTCGTTTTCGAGCGACACCCCAGCTTTCGTTGACGTACAATTTTGGCAATTTTGACAAGACGACGAACGAGGTGCTGAAAAGGGTCTGTTCGAGGGCGCTGTATATCGTGTCTAGCTCTTGCATCACGCTAGGTCCTTTTTTCGCTGCGTTGAAGCACGACTGACTTCTATTTCTTTCAGAATGGTGAAATCTGGCGCTGGGAGCAAAGCGACGATACCGATCATACCACGAGGGGTATCTCTGGTCCCGTACCCCTCAACAGCTCCTCCCCATTTGAACTATACGCTCATGCATCAATTTTTTCTTTTCGGACTAGGACGGCCGGAGAGGGAACCTAGGTTAGAGGGAGACTGACAAGGGCTCGCAAGGGAAGAGAGGAGCCAAGAGATAGGGAGTCAATAGAGAGTGAAACTATGAACATTGTACGAACATGACGACTAAGTACAGTAAATATGATCCGGGGAATGCCGAGTAAGTACGTGATATGAGATGACTACCAACCCTCTGACACCTAGGGTACAGTAGTCTTATTGCACATTCCAAATATGGAAATCAACTGTTGGGATAGTTGCATTCGGTTGTAGTAGTCGGATTGTATTGGACTCGGCACTGTCACACATAGTATGACGCGCGCGGGCAAGGCAACATAATGATATGTAGTCGGAGCCTATTAATATGAGAGAAACTCCAATTAAAGACTCTGGAGTCTCAGTGACTTATCTTGGAATAATAGTGCTCAGTTTTTGACAAGGGGCAAGAAGAGAAGAATGGCTTGCTGTGGTGCACAAAGGATACACAGACATTGATGCGCCACAAGTGCGCCACTCCGCTTACTCGGTCACTTTTGCAAACCGAGACTATCCTTGGACAACATGAGGTTCAATTGGCCAGCGTTGCTGTGCCAGCCAGACACGATAGGCCTTGACTCCACCGATTCGGGCGCAGCGTGACAGCTGTCGGGATCTTTCGAGACAATGAACTTGCTGAATACGACTAAAGTAAGACAATAAGACTATCTATATTGAGGATTTCCATAAAAGGGATCTGACAATGCGACTAAAGTGCACTAACCTCCCGGAGAGGTGAAGGAATATGATATAAAGACAGAGTCTCATCTCGGGATCCCGAAATTTAGCTCTTTGGTGCCCTTTTGTAGGATAAACGAGTCACGACAGTCTCGTCATCAACTCACCATCCAGGCTGCGAGATTCAGACAGCAAGATTCCTGCGAGCGGCGAAGGGTAGATCTTTTGATAGCTGCCCAGATACCTCTCTAAACGATTTCGCCTACGTAAACAGGCATAGCGGGCTCATTTTCTGCATCCGGTACCGTCTTTTCGTCACCCTAAGCTTGCGCTAAGCTTGTCTCAGGTAGTAGCATGGATTATGTCCATACGAAGAGCGAAGATCTAGGAAATGGGCCATCACCTCCTTCATTGGGACGTTCAAACCGCACCTGGAATTATGGATCATGAACAATGAATATGTACTTGCATTTACCAGCACTTCGGGAACCCGTAAGCATACTGTATATGACAATTATGGCACAGTAATCTTTGAAGCTGCAACATTGAACCTTCAACAAGAATTATCTGTCTCGTCATGTTGATGCCTTCCAGGTGATCCAACCCCGATTCAACTGGCGTTCGTCAAAGTCTGATACTGAGAGTATCTGGTCACCGTGACTCAACTGGACTCAAGTGATTATCTTGTTCTCTGTCAGAACTGTCTCGATTCCATGCAGCAGATGTCGTGTTCGCCCAGTTGGATCAGGCGTGAGGTGTGGTGGCCACGAAGTGGTGACGACTGGTATAAGAACAAAGATCTGAGAAACGACCGGATACCTTCTAATCTGATGATACCCTGAACGA